ATATATATATATAATATCCCTACACACACACATATATATATATATATCCCCCACACACACATATATATATATATAATATCCCACACACACACATACATATATATATATATATACAATATCACACACACACATATATATATATATAATATCCCTACACACACATATATATATATATATATATATCCCCACACACACACACATATATATATATATATAATATCCCTACACACACATATATATATATATATACATCCCTACACACACATATATATATATATATATATATATCCCACACACACACATATATATATATATATATATATATATAATATCCCCACACACACACATATATATATATATATATATATATCCCCACACACACATATATATATATATATATATAATATCCCCACACACACACATATATATATATATATATATATATATCCCTACATATATACACACATATATATATAATTCCAGCTTGAAGCCTATTTTTATATATATATATATATATATATATATATATATATATATATATATACTAGCTTAATTTGGCCTATCGGCGGCATTAAAGCTTCTTCTCCTGTGGGGGGGGCTTTTCATTGGGCTTTCATCACAATAGGTATAGAGGAGTAGATACGATAGTCAACTATAAACTACAGAAGAACTCAAAATTGATCACTGTATTTAAAGTATTGCAGTAACGTTTAAGTTTGTCTTTTAAAAATTCAACGATAATTCTTCTGCCGCCACGTAGGTCCTTACTTTCTGTACAAGCAATTATTTTTATTTCACGAATGACTTTCGCTGGATTTCGCATTTAATTTCGATCATTCGCAAATTTATTTCCAAGTTATAAAAATTGTTAGTGTAAAAAAAATTTGTCGTAAAAAGTCACGTAAAAAAAAAAAAATAAATTCGCCGAAAACAATCGCAATAATGAAAACTTGGAAATCCAAATTTTCAGAATTGCGTGTCAGGATCCGGCCTGGGAGGGTTTTAATTTGGTCACACAGAGACGGTCTGGTTCCCTAGTGATATGATATGTTGGGCTACGGCTTATAGGTGTAAACACGAAAAAATGTGACACACTGACATTCCCATTTTTCTGTTTCATATATATATATATATATATATATATATATGAAACAGAAAAAGCTATTTTAGTGGCTAGGCATGTTTGAGCGGACATCAACTGTTAAAGTTCACTGGCTAAAAAAGCAAAATGTCTTATTAAATAAAATGTACCTCACGATAGGAATCGAATCTATGTATTCTTTATCATGGATAGCCACCTTTTAACCGTTCAGCCACGAAAGCCTCTATAACAAAGCAAGGCTCACTTTTCTATTTTCATGAAATGAATATGTCTCGCTGATACTTTGGATGTCTAGTGTTATGCAAAAGTAGGTATACAGAAACGAAAAAACAAAAGTGGTAAATACAAGTAATGGATAATAGATATTGTATACCTACTTTTGCACACCCTGTATGTATTTACGGAATTATATTTTCATGTCCGAAAAGTAGTTTTTAAAAGTTCTGAATGGGTTTTAATCCGATACTGTCTCTGGAAACATTATTTCTTGTATCTACAGGTATTTAAGTGGATATTCCTGCTTTTTAAACAGTGAAAATTCGTGTGCCCCGGCTTAGATAATGTGAATTTTTATAAGCGAAGGTGTAGCTTAATGTAAACAAAGAAAATGCTGACTCATGGCCTTGGTTTAATTCTGTAGATATTTAGACAGAAACATGTAGCAAACTAGTCCTGTAAGCCATTGAGAGAAGATTCATTCCGTACTGGGAGCTCAATGGATTTGCCCTTGTGTCAAACTTAGATTTCTCGGACAAATGTAAGGACATACTTGACAAAAAAAAAAGTTGCGCTTTACAGGATGTCAGTGCTTTGTGCTGTTTCCGACAGACCCTTTGTATTTATACCAATTCCTTTCGTATTATCGCCACTGACAATGAAGTTTCTCCACCTCCGTCGTATACAGCCGACGATTACAAGAATTATATTTATAAATGCAATAGGTTTTGGCTTCCTCAATAACTATAATTACGCTAACTTGTACAGTTTTTCTTTTCCTTTTTTTTTTCTTAAGCGAGTCGACGAGCTCATGGAAATAATGTTGGCAAATTCAGGCGGACATATAAAAGTGGGGGTGTCTTTTGGCATTGGGAGGAAACGGGAGTCAAACTAAGACGAAAATGAGATGGATGGATAGAAGGGATTAATTGGTCAGCAGACAGACGGCAGATGGATTTTTAGAGGACGAGGGAGGCGGGACGCGGGAATGAACCGATCACATGGTGGGTGGGTGGTTGGTGGAAGTGTCCAGCGCTTTGCATTGCAGACAAAACAAACAAGGCTTTTGGCTGAAGTCGGCACCACATTCCACAGAAGAATGGATAGAACAAGAGAGAAAGTCTTCTAGCAGACTGCAAATCAGAACACCTGCACTACCATCATCACTATCCTATATATATATATATATATATAGACATAAAAGTGTGTATGTATATATGGGTGTGTGTGTGCGTTTATATGTGTGTAAATATATATATATATATATATATATATATATATATGGCACGGTGGATAAAGATATTGGTTAGATCATGTGACAGGACCCAAAGAGTGTGAGTTCAATACCCGGTTAAGGCAGTGGAGAACTTGGATAGGGGAACTAACAGGAAATAACTGATAACTGACATCCCTGGCACGTGGAACTAGAACAGTCTACCCCAGTGAGCGAAATAAATGGTTCAATTCGACATTCCAAGCACCTGAAGACGGCTGGGGGCGTACAATGGCCGAAACGTTGTAATAAATATGGCGAGAAAGATGAGGACAATAGTCCGAATAATGTAAATAATATATTCGTGTGTGTATGTCTTTATATATATATATATATATTCAAATCTATTTGTGTGTGTATGTGTTTATATATGTATATAAGTGTGTGCTTATATATATATATATATATATATATATATATATATATATATATATATATATATATATATCTTATATTAGCTGACGTGTTTCGTACCCTGAGAGACTTTATCAAGGCAAATGTAAGGGTTTTATTTTGTGACAAGTATTTATATACAAGAGCAAAAATGTTATTGGCTTTTCAAAATATTTGGTATAATGGTGCTCATAAATATTATTCAATTTAGCATCAGGCAAGTTCGATGCTTAATAAACAAAAGTGAGTCGGAGGTTTTTTTCAGTCTGGAAATATCTTAATAAATAAATGTTTTCTATTAAATTCTCAAAATGTTTTCATTCTTTTTGATGCTGTCAAGGAATTTGTTTCCATTTTTAGATTGAAAAGAAAATAAGCAAAATAGATTCCTAAAGATTGCCTGCCTTTATAGAATCGGTTCCTGGAAATCTGGGATGCCATTTTTGGATCGAACGCAATGTTACGCGGCATGAGCCAAACTTGAAAAAGCCGATGCAAACGAAGTTCATATTGTCTGCGATTATCCTGGTCGTTGTGATAAACGAGGGTCATGTCATGCCACATCATTTCTTCCGACAGGACATCAGGGTCAATGCAACTGCCAAACTTGAGACGGTGGACACAGGGACCACAGATATTCTTGTATGGTTCTTATTTGCCACGTGATCCAGGCATGGCTAGCAGAGAATTTTACGATTATGCCACCACCGCAACATGTGGCGTCTTGGCACCTGACTTATTGCCTTTGAAATATTATTCTAGGTAGAGAGAGATAACATTAATGGGTAGCAAAAGTTATTCAAGATCATGAAGCAGAATCTGTTCAAACTGATTGCACCCCACCTGAAATAAACAATGACATGGAATCGTCTTGGCGCACGTTGACAAAATTCTGTTGGGCAGGATCTAAGCTTTTTCAACTGCATGTTTTCCGTAATGATTTCATTTCCAGATTCCAATCCAATAGCTTTCTATATTTTTTTTTGTAAAACTCCACTGCTCCAACTATTACCGGAACCATTACTCCAACCATCACTGGAACTGTAATTTCTTTCTTTGCTAGTCCTTTAGATACTTTCATACTTTTAGTTATCGATCTCCTTTTCTTTGTGTTCAGTTCTCATTCCAAATGGACAGGAGACTTCTCTCAGGTAGCATTTAAATCTAAATCTGGTTTATCAGTATAATACTGAAATTCTCTGATTGTATGCGTGTTTGTGTGGTGTGTCCACCCGGCGCATAATGGTTTAAGTCAATCTGATAATTATTTATGTTTCAACTTTCTTTTTTTTTAATTAAAATATTTTTAAGTAAAAGACAGGCACAAAGAGATCCCGATTTGCTGTTGTTTGTAGCGTAATTCTTTATATTTCAGCTTTCTTTAAACAAACAATATTTTAAATATTTAAAAAATATTTTTAAGTTAATCTGATATAAAAATATTAAAAAGTGAATAAGATTTAAAAATACGAGTTGTTTATACAGTAAGTATTTTTATTTTAACTTTCCTCAGACAGGAAATTTTTCAATTAAAATATTTTTAAGTGAAAGACAGACGCAAAGAGATCCCGCTTTGCTGTTTCGTTTAGTTGTTTGTAGAGTAATTATTTATTTCCAGCTTTGTTTAAGCAAACAATATTTTAAATATTTAAATACAAATTTTTTTGTCATATTTAAAAACTATTTTCAAGTGAATACGATTTAAAAATACTTTTTGACATATTAAAAAAAGATATTTTTAAGTTAATCCGATTTAAAGTTCAAGTTTATCCCGGAAGTTATATTCTTGTTAAATGCTGTAAACAATCAGTAAAACGTTAAACAGGAACTTGTAAATCAGACCAGATGAGACGAACCAATTTAAATATTTATCTGAATCATAATAAAATTAACTTTCATTTCAATGAAATGTTGAAATGAACTTCAATGTTTTATAACCTGAACCAACGGGTCACGTGTAGCCTAGTTGTACTGTAAAGTTATCACTACTTGTATCGGAATATCCCACAGAATTTCTCCAGTACTTTCTTTTCCGCATATACTCTTTCTGAGCCATGCGGTTAAATTCTGATACAATATGACTGATAGTCTCACCTGTCTCCTTCCATATTCTGAACAACGCGAAATGCTGTCCATATCAATGTTCTTTGCTAGTCTTTCCTAAACTTTTATACTTTAACCTTTTACCTCTCTTTGAGCCCGTTCACTTGTCTTCCGTCAGTCTTGCGCTGTGCAACTACTTGAAATGAACCGACTGTCATGGTGAAAGGTCGTTACTTTATAGTCAATCAATGGCACGCCCTCCAATGACTTTATTAGTTCTAGTTTCAAGACAAGTTAGTAAAGGAAAGTGTGAAGAAAGGACTAACTATCAATTGTGAGAAAACAGAATGTACGATTGTCAACAAGATACAGAGAAACCGAAGAAGTGAAGTACGAATTGGAAATATCAAAATAAACAAGCACAGGTTTTAATGTCTGGGAGTCCGGAACGAAGAGAAGAAGGCAAAACAGGGACGGAGAGAGGAAAATAGGGACGGAGAGAGGAAAAACAGGGACGGAGAGAGGAAAATAGGGACGGAGAGAGGAAGATTGGGGCGAAGAGTAGAAGGCAGTGACGGAGAGAGGAAAATAGGGACGGAGAGAGGAAAAACAGGGACGGAAAGAGGAAAAACAGGGACGGAGAGAGGAAGATTGGGGCGAAGAGAGGAAAATAGGGACGGAAAGAGGAAAATAAGGACGGAGAGAGGAAGATTGGGGCGAAGAGTAGAAGGCAGTGACGGAGAGAGGAAAATAGGGACGGAGAGAGGAAAAACAGGGACGGAAAGAGGGAAAACAGGGACGGAAAGAGGAAAAAGGGGACGGAGAGAGGAAAATAGGGACGGAAAGAGGAAAAATAGGGACGGAGAGAGAAGATTGGGGCGAAGAGAAGAAGGCAGTGACGGAGAGAGGAAAATAGGGACGGAGAGAGGAAAAACAGGGACGGAAAGAGGAAAAACAGGGACGGAGAGAGGAAAATAGGGACGGATAGAGGAAAATAGGGACGGAGAGAGGAAGATTGGGGCGAAGAGTAGAAGGCAGTGACGGAGAGAGGAAAATAGGGACGGAGAGAGGAAAAACAGGGACGGAAAGAGGGAAAACAGGGACGGAAAGAGGGAAAACAGGGACGGAAAGAGGAAAAACAGGGACGGAAAGAGGAAAAACAGGGACAGAAAGAGGAAAAACAGGGACAGAAAGAGGAAAATAGGGACGGAGAGAGGAAAATAGGGACGGAGAGAGGAAGATTGGGGCGAAGAGAAGAAGGCAGACGGAGAGAGGAAAATAGGGACGGAGAGAGGAAGATTGGGGCGAAGAGTAGAAGGCAGTGACGAAGAGAAGAAAGCAGGTACGAAGAGAGGAAAATAGGGACGGAGAGACGAAGACTGGGACGAAGAGAGAGGAAGAAAGGGACGAAGAGAGGAAGACGGGCAAAGAGAGAAAGTCCGAGACGAAAAGAGGAAGATTGGGGCGAAGAGAAGAAGGCACTGGCGAAGAGAGGAAAACAGGGACGAAGAGACGAAGATGGGCACGATGAGAGGAAGACAGGAATAAAGAGAGGAAGGCAGGGACAAAGAGAGGGAGACATGGATGAAGAGAGGAAGACAGGGATGAAGAGAGGAAGGCAGGGACGAAGAGAGGAAGACAGGGACGAAGAGAGGAAGGCAGGGACGAAGAGAGGAAGACAGGGACGAAGAGAGGGAGACAGGGACGAAGAGACGAAGATGGGCACGAAGAGAGGAAGACAGGAATAAAGAGAGGAAGGCAGGGACAAAGAGAGGGAGACTGGGACGAAGAGAGGGAGACATGGATGAAGAGAGGAAGGTAGGGACAAAGAGAGTAAGACTGGGACGAAGAGAGTAAGACCGGGAAGAAGAGAGGAAAACCAGGACGATGAGAGTAAGACAAGAAGGAAAAGAGGAAGACTGGGACGAAGAGAGGAAGGCAGGGACACAAAAAAGGAAGATGGGACGAAGAGAATAAAACCGGGACGAAGAGACGTAGGCGGGGTCAAAGAGAGGAAGAAAGGAAGACAAGAAAAAAGAAAATTGACTCTTAAGATAAAAAAAAAGAATAATAAGAAGAAATTGCTTCAGCGTAAGGGATATATCGAAGCGAACGATGAAAGCTGACGAGATTTGCCACCGAAAGACAGGCGCGAGGAACGCATTTATTTGATAGAATGACCAAGAAACAGAAAAAAGATTAATTAATTCCTATAAGTAAGCTAAATGATAATAAACTATAAAAGGAAAGAGATCAAACTCACATACAGCTCGATTTATTGTTTCCGCCGTCTTTGCCAGACAGCTAACAAAAAGAAAAGTTAAAAAAAAAAAAACAAATTGAACAGAGTTTTTTGTTGTCAAATCAAAATGGCTGACTTTTAAGCTACATCCCATGTCGGGCAGAGCAAGAAAGTTAAATTTTTCCCCTCCAATTGGATGGATGACAAGTAGATTCCGTTGCTACTTTTGATCACAGATTATATTTTCTAATCAATCGATGTAATAAGATTATGTTGCGCCAATCTTCCAAATGGAGAGAGAGAGATCCAGTTTGCATAAAAAATCAACGTTCGAAATCCTAGATTTTCTTACCAGCTCTTGCACTCTTAGAGAAATAAGTAACTTTCTAAATCATGAAGTAAATTCTCACGAAAGCGGCGATCGAGCAGGGAGAGGCTTGCAACGTTTCGTCTGTTGGAAAAGGGTTGTAGCATAGAAAATAATTCATCAACCACAAGTCCACGTAGGCGCTTTTGAAATCTATCAAGAGAGGCAAGCGAAGACTGGACAGTTCCAGTTCAGATATGGCATCAATACTCCATTTTTGTTCTGATCTGGCTCTTGTAGCAGGAGGAATTAGGTACTTACTAGAGCGCAACAAAGAACTAGGGGCGTTTCTAACATCTTTAACGATGGATCGTATATACATGTTAATCCTAATAGGCGTCCAAAGCAAAGGGGTCTCTTTGAGCGAACAACCGTCCATTGAGATTCAGAGGCTGCTTGGTGATGTTGAAATTCTACTAATTTAGGTTTTGAGCTATTCAATGTGACCAGCCAGTTTTCCTCCCATTGATCTGTTAGAGCTAGATCAGGGGAGAGTTCAGCTGTCAGGCTCTGGTCATCTGTTGGGTTGGTGCATAATTATCAGGCGTTTTGTAGGCGACTTATTTGTTAATAAAAATTGCTGTTTTGTTTACTTTTTTTTTTTAATAAAAATATTTTATTTTCAAGTTATAAAAATGAGTATCGATAATCATACGCTCTGGAATAATCATATAAATATGTTATTGTTGAATTGTTATGATTCCTTTTCATAATAGTGCTTAAAAACGCCTGATAATTATGCACCAACCCAGTATATTCCCCTCTCAAATAAAAAGAGGAAAAAGACGAAAAGACTAACCTCGGCCGAAAAACACCGGATATTAACGGACCAGCGTTTAAATATTTTTGAGCGAAAAAAAAAAAAAAAATTATTTTCAGGTTATAAAAATGAGTGTCGATAATCATAGGCTCCGGAATAATCCTTTTAAAATGTTATGGTTGAATTGTTATGTTTCTTTTAAAAATCGCCTGATAATTATGCACCAAACCAATAGATATTTGGCGGTGAAACCATTTACCATTGTATAATCTCTATAGATATTCACTAAAGATCGGAGTATGCTCCCAGGCAGAATATTGATATATAGCAGAAAGGGAGTCGGACCAAGAAGCGAGCCTTGTGAACCGCCTGCATTAATATTATCTCGACCGCCCAGAAATCTTAATTTGCCAATTCGATTCTGTTTTCTACAATAAGAATCAAGATTGTTAAAAAGTTGCAGTTCACAATGTGAAAACGAGAGTTTCTTAAATTTTGACGAGGTAGCCTTTGAAGCTCTTGGATTGATTTTGGAGTACCAACATAACCCAATTCTGTTCCGATTAAGAAATCTTTAACAATTTTAGAGAACCACGTAATGAGCTCTTCAGCTTTTGGAAATAAAGAAAAGCGTCAAATTCAGAAGCCATATTGTACAGTGTAACCTGGATATAAGAGAGTTGTCGGGACCGGAGTAGAAGTCTCTTATATCCGGGTTACACTGTAGTTGTTGGACACTGAAAAACGGGTTTAATTATAAAATTAAACTCATCAGACTATTAACCATGGAATAAAATATTTTATAAGTACAGTTGTAGTTTAATTTTACGTACATTATAACCTTGTGAATGTGAAACAATTCGACAAGAAATCAGTCACCGTCCTGGGTATGACGATAAACTACATCCGCGTCTTGGGTAAGACGATAAACTACAACCAACAGCAAAGCCTCTGATCATGAGGTTTTAAGGAGCGTGGAAGCAACTCTTAATTGCTGGTGTTCCCAGGTCCACCCTGACCCTGGGTGGTAGCATTTGTCGGAATCCCAGCTATGAGCAAATAGTTACCCACTTCCCCGCAAAAGGGGTCAAAACACTATGAAAGTATAAAAATAGGTTTTAATACCAACAATACATTTTTGAAGAAAAAATTATTACCAGCAATACATTTTTGAAAAAAAAATATTACCAGCAATAAAAATCTTGTCGGCATTAAATAACCCATTGAGGTTGGTATGCCGTAAAACAAACCAAAGCAAACAATTTTCGTAGAGTTCTAATTTCTGGAAGATGTGTATGTGGTTTAGATCTATACGCAATTTTTCCCCTTTTTGTTTTAATGATTATTGAATTAAAAGAATGAAAGCAATATAAGGAAAGGAAAAAAAATCCCCTTTAAGAATGAAAAAAAAGAAAAAGAAAAGAACGGGTTACGTTTCTAGAAAAAGTAGACGATATTCACTGACTCTCCCAAAAGATAAATGCGTAAACATATTCACATACAAGCCGAGTAAAAGGGAGATAACTGCCGGGCATGGGAACACAACATCTGCATTGTCTGTAGACAGTGGTAGCATCCACAAGTTGCTGGAAGGAACAGCACATCGTTCTTCGTTTCGACGGCGCGGTCTTGCAAATTGACTGGACCAATTCCATTATTTTTTTCGTTCCCATTTCTTTTTCTTTTTTTTTTAAATTCTATTCACTCATTCTTTTCGATTTGCCTTCAATGGCGTGTACATTGTTGTCAAAAATGTTTTTATTTTTTGATTTTTCTACCCTTTCCCTGGAGGTTTGGTTTTTATTTCATATTGTCTTTTAGGGGCGCTATGTGCTCTTGCACTAGACCGTGGGTAGTGGCAAAGTGAGGAGGAAGGCAAAATCAAATACTTTTTGTTAATAATAATAATAATACCGTAATTCCCCATGTATAATACGCCTTCATCCATAATGCGCACCCTTAAAATTGTGCTGAAAGTGTGAGAAAATGCTTCTATTCATGCATAGTACGCACCCCTTGCTTGGTAATCAAACTCTATAAATTGTATCTCTCCAATTTCATTACGGCCAGCGTTTCCTACTCTTATTTAAAAAATGGTTTTAAACATAGAATAATATTATTCTAATTTAGTTTTATGATAATTCTTATTTTATTTTACGGCAATTTTTTAAAGATTTTTTGTGTCTGTGTATAATACGCATGCCGGATTTTGCTTATTTTTTTTTAGAAAAAATGCGTATTATACATGGGGAATTACGGTATGTTGCTTTTGATTTATATTAATATTTCTGATGGATTGTTTATTTGTTCAAAAACGATTTAATTTGGAAAGTCATTTTTAATGACAGTTTATTTAATGTTTTTTTTAATTCTGTGTAGAATTTTTTTTTTGTAGAGGAGTTAAATTTTGCACGGTGTTATAATAGCATAAAAGTAAATAAACACAAAATGTCTATATTATTTAATGAAACATATTATTCTAATTTAGTTTTATAATAATTCTTATTATTTTTTTACATTTGTAAGTATTGTTAGGTACATATAATTGTATTTAACATCCTTATGGAGTCGCAATCGCCGAATGTTAGTGTCAAATTCTCTTATGTTTGTGGTGAGTAGTTATTTCGCAACCTATGAAACAGCAAATTTTTAAAAATTTTTTGTATCTGTGTATAATACGCACCCTTAATTTTTCTTCTTATCTTTTAGAAAAAAAAATGGGTATTATACATGGGGAATTACGGTAATAATAATAAAACATCAATCATGGCTTCATAGTTTCTGATCTTAACTGATTGGGGGCGTTAATATGTACATGTCTCTTTCAATTAAGGTGGACCACAGTAAATATCCCGTTCATTACTACAGATTTGCCTGTCAATTTCCAGACCATAACCGGTTGGGCACATCACCTAGAGGCTAACACACTGTTTATCTGTTCATTGGCGGGAGTAATGGTGGAACATTATGGGCAGGTTTCGAGAGGGTTATATTTTTTGTTTGAGGATGACAAAGCCAAGAACATCCTGAATAATTTCAGGGAGTTAATAATAATAATAATAATAATAATAATAATAATAGACCCAGTTACGGAGATAGGGCCTGTAACAATTTTATGGGACTACACAATACACAGACAAAACAATCAAAGCTAATCGCCAGGCATCATTAGAGACCGCAAACAAATAAAATTGCCTCGTTTTTGACATAGAAGTCCCTGCAGATTGCAATGTATCTTTGAAGATCTTCAAAAAGCTATCAAAATACAAGGACCTTGAAATCGAAATCTCAAAAATGTGGCACATGGGAACATCAGCAATCCCTGTCGTAGTTGGAGCCTTCGGATTGGTTGGAAAAAATTCCAGTAGCGTCACTGAAGGGATTTCTGGAAGCCCATGCCTTAAAGAGATACAAAAAATTGTTCTCACGAGTACAGCCCACACATTTAGAAGGGCTTTATCTATGTAAAATATATATGTGTGTGTGTGAGTTTAATTGGTCAGTGGAAAATATCATGATGACATTTCTGAGCTTAGGTCTCTGGGCGGGACACGGAAAGAAATGTGTACACACATGAAATCAAGGGAAATAAAACAATATTATTATTATTAATAATAATAATAATAGTAATAATAATAATAATAATAATGCCTGCTAATTAGAAATTGCCAAGTACACATACTGAAAAATTGTGTTGACTCCCAAATGCAGATTCTGTGATAAATATCCAGAAACAATTGACCATCTTGCATCAGGTGAGCCAATATCTGCACTGGAAACTCTGCAATCTTTACGGGAAAGAAGCTGGTATGAACATCCCCCAGACCCGGTTACAGATATAGTACTTGTATCAATTTTGCGGGACAATCAGTGCTAATCGCCCAGACATTGTGATCAAAGACCACAAAAACAGAAAGTGTTTTCTTATTGACATGGTGGCAGTCCCTACAGATTGTAATAAATAATAAGATTGTGGTGTTTATTAAGGAATAATTTTATTGACAAACAAAAGATATCTATTCTAATTTAAAGAATTTGCAATAAGTTTACTTCAAGCTAAGTAAATATCGTTATAATATAACACGAGTAAAAAATATTCAAGACGAGTGAGTTAGAAGTTAATTTGATCTGACGGAGGCCCTATAATTTCATTAGCCTAGGGCTCTTAAATGGTCATAATCCGGCCCTGGCCATTACATCACCGTGTACCTCTAAGGCAGAGGCGAATGGTTTACAAAAGACGCAGCCTATAAATGCATTACGAATGACGTCAGAGTCTCAGAGATAGAAATTTTATCAGGGCTTAATAATTCTCTATCCTTCACCATTAGTCATACTGCTTTTATATAGAACATTTTATGCTATGAGCTGTAAGGCTCACGCAAAATGTGACTACTTGTCCTCAAAATATGCAAAAATCCCTGGATATTCTTGGGTCTTCTTTGGATTCCAAAGACCCCTTAGGGCATATTAAAATGTTACATACCAATGTTCAGTTCTTTTTTCATGTTAAGCATGTTACTTAAATAGGATGGTAGACAGCATATTACAAAGTTAACCTTGTACGTTAACTTTTGGTGTATGGGATTAGGCGTTGCTACTGTGTTTTCTGTAGTAACTGTTTTTTTTTACGGGGTAGAGTTGCTAGCCGCGCACTTAAAAGGTTTTGAATTCAGATTTGTTCATCTACATTAGTTGCAAAATATAGTTAGCGAACTTGTGATGCATCCACCAAGAGACACAAATACACAGTTTGGTTAAATCAGACAATTTTTTTTTCTTACAAAGTTTTCTTTCTCTTCTTGCTCAATTCAAGCTTCTTCTTCTTGAAAGAGTTACGTCTTTCATTTTTATTATTTTCTCCTTCGTTTTATATTTTCTTTTTCCTTTTTTTTCCTTCTTTTATTTTCTTCTATTTTCTTCTTTCTTTTTCATTTATTCTCCTCTTCTTTCTTTCTTTTTCTTCCTTTTTCTTTTATCCTCCTCTTCTTCTTCCTTTTCTTTTCTTCTTTTCTTCTTCTTTCATCTTCCTTTTTCTTTCATTCTCTTCTTTTTCTTCTTTTTTTCCAAATTTTTCTTTTTATTTTTTTTTTCCTTTCTTCCACCTTTTTCTTTTATTCTCTTCTTCTTCCTTTTTTCTTTTATTCTCTTCTTCGTCCTTTTTTCTTTTATTCTCTTCTTCTTCCTTTTTTCTTTTATTCTCTTCTTCGTCCTTTTTTTTTATTCTTCTCTTCTTCCTTTTTTTTTTTTTTTTCTTTTTCTTTTTTTTTTCTTTTATTCTTCTTTTTTTTTTATTTTTTTTATTCTTTTTTTTCTTTTTTTTTTTTTTTTCTTCTTCCTTTTTATTTTTATCCTTTTCCTTTTCTTTTTCTTATTCTTTTTCATCTTTTTTTTTTTTTGTATATATTTCTTTTCTTATTCCTTTTTCTTTTCTTCTTTTCTTCTCCTTCTTCCTTTTTCTTTTATTCTCTTTTTCTTCTTCCTTTTTCTTTTATTCTTTTCTTCTTTCTCTTTTCTCTTCTTCTCTTCTTCTTCCTTTTTCTTTTATTATCTTCTTATTTCTTCTTCCTTTTATTCTCTTCTTCTTCTTATACAACGCATCATGCAGTAGGTGACATACACAACTTTATTAAAGTCAGGCAACTAACAAACAAATTTGTACTTCTGAACGGGATATTTAGTGTAGTCCATCTTAATTCTAAAACAAAACAAAACATATAGGAATTGACATGTTCATTTATTCCCCGTCTTTTAGGTAGGCGTTGGATTTTATCCCTTGTTTCTAGTTTAGGATTGGGTTTCCGGTTCCTTCTAAAGTCTACTTCAATACTATACGCCTAACGTATCCACCTAAACTCTGACATTTTATTTACTGTTCTTCAAAAAATTTAAACGCAACAATTGCCATTTTCTGTTGTCTTGAACTCCGTTTTTTTATCTTATTCGAATCCTCCGCTATACTCAGTCTTTTCTCTCACTTTCACTCTCTATAAACCCCTGCATGCTAGTGGCATTCCCGCTTTGATTGGGGTCAAATGATTAAAAAAAATTCCCCCTCACAAGAGTAGATAGTTTTATCTATCACCCAGTTCACACTCTTCCACTGGTTTTTGAAGGGTGTAGAGGTTTATCACTTGTTTACAGTTTAAGATTGGGTTTCCGGTTCTTTCTAAAGTCTTTTCATCCTTTTTTCATTTTCAGTAACCCCCTTGCGACTTAGTGGCTTTATCGCCTTGCTTGGATTGAATTGATTAAACAAAATGTACATGTTAACACCTCCAATCAATTAAGATCAGAAGACGTGAGAGTGGGGTCTGTTGTTTATTATTATTGTTGTTTTTGTTAACTATCAAAATGGATTTGACCTGCCATTCTCACAAGAACATGACTTTTTTAAAAATTCCACGTGGAACAGGCTTGTTCTGCAGCCTAAAAGAACTTAAGAAAAAGTTTGTATTTTTTTTGTCTCCCTTATTTTATACAAGCCCAGACACACCCACTGATATTTTTTGTGATTGAAAGAACCGGGTCTTTTGTTTAAGCTGTGATTTTGTCAGAATGGCAGCGTGCTAAAAACACGTGTCGATCATGGCGGTTTTAATTT